AACGCACACACACACTCACACACACGCAGTAAGAATAGTAATATTTCCGTGCGCGTCAATTCGACTGTGAATTTATTTTCAGAGGGGTGTGTTCTTTGTTACAAACTGGAGAAATACGACAATAAACGAGTAGAAAAAGTATATGCCATTTATGAAAGAAAATATGGCTATTATTTAATAATAACCGTTAATGTCTTCTACGTTCTACGTATTTATATTATATTTCCTACTTCTATTTATATAATTACAATTTACAATAAATAAAATTGACTTAACTGACTTAAATGATGAAAATGTTTCAATTACAAATTGCGTCTTAGTACTTCATATTTCATAAAAATAATGATGAAATATGAAAAGTAACAATGGATTTTTCAATACCTTTTAATAAATCTAATATCATATAGGTACCTACAATAAGCGAAAACGTATATTACAAATTTGTTGAACACCTACATCACTATACATCTTTCTTATGTAGTTTACTCTAAGGTTGCACGTGATGTTCCTATGTAGTGTTAATTTTTACCATAATTATTGCCAAAAAGTAATATACAGCACGTCATGTTTTCTAAACCGTTTGAATAATATTTATTCGTTTAAATATTTTACAACAGTAACGTTGGCTTTGATGGCAGAACGATCTCGTTTTTCTGAAAAAGAGAACAACTTGTGTGTTCTCTCGACCACCGAGTTTTCCCATCTAGGGATGAAATCTAAAAAGACACCATTTTCGGGGAGACATCGGTATCTTTTCCAGAATTAACGAGCTTCGGCCCAAAGCGTACGTGCTGCCGCGTCCGTAAAATCGCACACACGTAGACATCAAAGCGCGCCGACCACTACTTATGCCTGAACGCATCTCTGGGCATTAGACTCGCAGGTGGCTATTATCTCATCCAGACGATTCAATTGAGCCACGCAAGCGATAGTCTGCAACTTCATTGATGCTTTAAACGCGATATTAATTTACGGTGGTTGCCACAATGTAAGGACAAAACAATGATAATTGTGGCAAAAATTTTGGCCATTGTTACGCCCTGCGACACGATAATATGTATAATTGCACACTGTGTCATCATGACAAAGCACTGCAGACGATAAATAAAACAACTATTATTTTCTTCACAATCGCGTAATCCATATACTGTATCATTAAAACCCTTAATCTTCTTGTAGGGGAAAGGTGTCTAAAACTATCCGTTTAAGGCGTAATTTATATAAAAAATACAAATGTTCATTATTTAAATAAAGGTAAAGTAGTTTTTGTAAGTTAGTCTATCTATCTTATCATTAGCTTAAATAAAATTTAGCTACGTGATTAATTATATTTTATATTCACATTTCTTTGAAGGCATACTTAAGGATCATTTTATAATGTATGTGTATAAAATGATCCCCGGGGATCATTTATACCTACTTATAGTAAATACGACGAACATTAAAAAGCATTTCAGTTATTACATTTTATTTAAATAAAAACAGCTTTGACGCGTTTTTTTTCTTTCATACTGACGGTTGCATTGTTGTAACTAAAACAAAAAACAATAATATAGCATATGGGTAAAATGATTCCTGGGATCATTTTGTCCTATTAGGGAGGGATCATATGACCCCAAACACCCAACTCACATTCAGTGGTTGAATATAACATCAACTTAATACATGCGGTAACGAAACATTAATTAACTTATTATTGAATTGTGGTTAAATCCGTGCAAGAAGCTGCTGTCACATTAAACCGTTTATGACAAAAGTTACACAACATTGAAAAAGACCTTATCTCAGATAAATTGCAGTAATTTAAAATTTTTATTGTGGACAACACACAGAGCATTAATATTTACATGGCATTTTGAGCAACGACTAGTGACGTGCGGGGAGAACTATTGTGGAACGGCATTGCGATATAGCTCCACTAATAATTATAGACCACAGGGCAGCCAGGAATCATTTTATCCCTAGTGATCGTTTTAGACACTTTTCCCCTACGTAGGGGGTATGTACAGAAATGTAAAATAACTATTTAAATCTCTTTTAATTAAACCCAATTTAATTGTACTTCAAATTGTAATTCTACTAGTTGAAGAGTACCTAATATGAGATTTCTGTTAATAATTATTACGGTACATTGATGAGGCTCAGTAATAATTTTTGTTTTACAATTTCTTTCATTCTGCTTCCATAATTTCACTTCTCACTTTATGTTAGAACTTAATGCTACTGCAACAGCATTATTTTTATTTGTACCGTCACTATAATATAACTATTCAAATAAACTTAAATAAATTTATTATCAGATAACTACGCGACTACTTAAATTTTATTTTACAGTTGTCGTGCATATATATGTATAATAGATTTCGTGTTGCTTTCCAACAAATTGCGTAGGATTAAGAGGTAAAAGATTAACAGTTCATTCCGCAAACTTCCACTCTAAACATTCAAGAAAATAGATTTTTGATCTGTAATAAATACATATAACTATTTCGCTTGACGTCTAACATTACCAGTTCGGGAATTACGACCATGGTTTCTCCAATTTCTCGAAGCAGTTACCATGTAAGGCAGACCTCAAAGGCCGATAATAATGGAATCAGGAATGAAAAGGGTTGCAGTAGTCCTTGCAGGTGGCGAGAGCCTCGAACGCCGTTTCAGTGTTGACGAATTAATCCTGTTAGTCCACAATAACGGGAAACAATGGCCGTGGGCAAAGTTTATCCGATTTAACCGGACGGGATTAACCAACTCACCCTGGCCCCTCCCGCCGGTTCCCCACCCTTGCCGCTCATCCCACCAAAACCCGTAATTTACACGTTAGTTATGGGAAAGTCATTAAGGCTACTTAGAACGTTGCTTTTGATCTTTTCATAAGCTCAAATGCCGTTTGCCAACTTTACATTGTCAATCGGCTTGATTCGATTTTCATGTAAATGATACGTACAACTATGTACATGCAACCGATGCGGTAACAATGTAATATTAGGTGTAACAATAAGTAATTCACTATTATTCTTTAATTGTGAGGCGATGTATTTCAAATTAAAAATGTCTTCTCAACTATATTTACTGAATAACAATATTGTGAGATGTCGGAAAATTGTTATTGGTATAAATGAAACAGTATAAATGATTCTTGATTTGTACACTGATTTCTCTACGACTCTACGAAATGTGTACATACAGTGAAGATTTAATGGTACACCCCATACACAATGGAAAATGTTAGAAATAATTTTTTAAAACTTCACGATACTAAAAATAAACGAATTATGGTATTTCTTCGTCCGTGAGTTTGTCGTACCTATGGGTTATAAATGAAATACGACAAGGGTATGTAAGTATCATATCTGGATAGTTCATTCCCTGTTATGATTATACATACCTAGATCGGAGAGAATATAGGATCAAAGGTCTACGTCAACATCACGTATATTGAAGAAATTTGAATTGACATTGTTACGTTTGTTATTCGGCTCGATTAGTTTATAAATACATATAATATTCGATATAGTATATTAAGTTTTATGCATTCCAGTGCTAAAAATTATTTTGTACCTAACCCAGACCTATTATTTATTATTACTTATAACGTAATTAAAAATGATACGCTCGGTCGCAAAATCGCGTATAATTATTAAAGTATATCGATGCATAATTTGTTCTTTTAGCTTCTCTTGAAACTCAAATTACTTTAATAAATTAATGTTTCAATTGTTTTGAGAAATGAACCCTGATAACGAAAGTTGTGTACAAGTTTCGAGCAAATTGCCAGCAATAAATGAGAAAAGTTGTCTAAAAGAACTATAGCCATCTGTTTTCGCATTTGACTTGGGTTTTGCAGGCAACACCAGCTGAGAAAATGGTAAAAAAAAAATTGGCAGGAAGTCTTGCAACATCACCTATGTCAAGTTGAGGGCAAAACCGGAACAAGGTTTGCGTAAGCCAATTTGCTGTAGATACAGGTACTTGTATGTTGCTGCCAATGTGCGCACAAGTTGTTTATAGCAAATAACATTATAATAGGCATTTGACAAAATTTGGCTGGCTGGAAAATTTAATTTGTGTATTTTCCATTTCTCAAAATTTCCTTTCATTCATAATATTATCTTATGTTTCCGTTCTGACACTTTAAGGATAGGAAATTACATAACTATATTGCACGAATGATAAATCAAGCAAGGTGTCGAAAATATTGTCGATTGAGCCGATAGAGTCATAGAATAATCGGAAAAAATGCTCAATATCCGTGCTACAGTTCGATCGAGTATCTTTAAATAGCAGCGGTTGAAGCAGCAGCAATAACAAAGGGCATTTACCCCCTTTCGTTTCGATGTTATTCACATGTGAACGGAACAATTCAGTCCCCGCGGAGAGAGTTGCTCGCCCGGGAATCGTAAGAGGGCGTAGAAACGCAGCTATCGCATTTGGATTTGTTTGTATACGCGGGTTCGCAGCGTCGAGTTTAGTTGCGGCTGCGCTCCCCACTACCGGGTGCCGTAGCCGTAGCTCGATCAGCCACCTTCGAAATCCCTGCCCCCATCGTAACCACGCGTTGTTTGCACTGTTTGCTGTCAAACATTGGCCGCAAAACATTGTGGTGGGGCGAAAGGACGTCGCCAGTGGAAGGCGAGCAGCGACGGCTGCGATTGGTCCGACGTCTCTCTGCGCGTGTTCGCCAGGAGCGCCGTAGGCGTGGCCAGCACGACCGTATAAATAGGGTACGTGGCGGGGATGACGTCAAATACGCGGCATCGCTCCGACGGGGCAACATCTATCGTCGTTGTTCGTGAGACTAAGCCAAGTAGATAGAAGCCTGAGGAAAGGACTAAGCGTTTTATGGAACCGAAAAGTTATCGTGGACTTGTGGTGTGATATTCGTTGTCGCGATAAACTATAACACTGTGTGAACATTTATCTGTGCCCGAGCAAATAAACGGGAAATCTTGTTGTTGCACGTTTCGCAAAGAAAATTTTTCAAGTGCGACGAGTTTGAAATAATGGTGAACATGGAAGATTCCGGCGAACAGCACACGGTAACCGCCTCACCGCCGCCGCGAGCTGCCCTCAAGAGCAATTTTAGCATCCGCAGCATCCTGCCGGAAGCCTGCGCCGCGACACCAGCACCGGCGGACAGCCGATCCGTGTCCCCTGATGTCGGCCATGTCGACGACAGCGAGGATTCGAGCGATCTTGACGTGACTGGAGACGGTGGCATGGAAACTCCTCCTTTGGATTGCTCGACGAACGCCGCCGCGACGACCAACTCGTCTGACTCCAAGGACGCGAAAGACCGTCAGACCGACGAGAAAAAGAAGTCCGAGAAGCCGCCGTACAGTTACAACGCGCTAATCATGATGGCCATTCGTCAGAGTCCGGAGAAGAGACTGACCCTGAACGGCATCTACGAGTACATAATGCGTCACTTTCCGTACTACGAGAACAATAAGCAAGGTTGGCAGAACTCCATCAGGCACAACCTTTCGTTGAACAAGTGCTTCGTGAAAGTTCCCCGTCATTACGATGATCCCGGCAAAGGAAACTACTGGATGCTGGACCCGAGTTCCGAGGATGTGTTTATCGGCGGCACGACGGGCAAGCTTCGCAGACGGACCACCGCGGCATCCAGGTCGCGGCTTGCCGCGTTCAAAAGGAGCGTCGTTCTCGGCGGATTGTATCCAACAGCGTACGCTCCACCTGGATGGCCTGCTTCTCTGTACACGCTTCCGTACCTTCATCGCGCTGCAGGATACACGACAGCGACTGGCGCATATTCCACACCGGCCGGCTATCCAGCCAGCTTATTGCCCGGCGCTGTAACGAGTTCGGCCAGCAGTTTACCCTGCAAGCCTCAACCGTTGCCAGCGTCCGCCGCACCGCCAGCCCACGGGCCATTTTCCATGGAGAGGTTGCTCCAGCCACCGACTGCCGCTGGATACCCGACAAGCATCGCCGCGTCCGGTATTCCAGTCTCCAGCAACCCCTACGACTTTTACTCGACGTTAAGGTCGTTGGCCGTCCATCAACACCATCAGACGACCGGCGGCGGCGGCGGCGGCACGGTTTTCGCTCACCAACAACAACAACCGGCCAGGTACCACGTGAATCAACCCCAGGTATTCGGCCAGCTGACGTCAGCCACGGCGTCGCCAGGCAGCAGTCCCGAACCGATGTCACCTCATTCGCCGCCGGTCACGATCTGTAATTCTGTACAGCAATCGAGATCGTCCCACCCTCACGGTACTCCGCAGTTGCTGCTGAAACCGATCACTGTGCTCACCGGAAGGCAGAGCTGAACGATCACGTCCTTTCCATAGATATTATTCGCGTGTGTAACGCTTGAATTTATCGAGATATCGCTCTGATCGACGAAATGGAAATTTTCGCTCGTGATTCGACCAGCCCAACGGCAGAGAAATTATTATTCTTTCTTCACTCGGCCCAAGGTTTAATCCGTTCAGTTACGTAGAAACTCGAGAAACCAACCGTGTTTCAGATAATATCGATTACGACTTGGTTCGTTTCTACTCGCGGTTGTACCTCGTCGAAAATCGAGTTTTCGGGAATTGCTGCGTCTGCTAGTCACACAAACACGTCTGGATTGCACGAAAAAGTTTCAGTTCGTATACGATGGAAAATTCGAGCCGTTACTCTAATAGCACTGAAGGATGTATACTATATACGTATACGGTTTAGTTTTATGTCGATTTTGTAAATATAGCTTCAAGTGAAGATGCCTCGCGGCTCGACGCGTTCAGAACGCTCGACGCGGATTGATACCAAAATGTAAAATTTCTCATTGATATCGAGGATGATGAAACTTGCGTAGGAGAGTAATATAATATTGTTGTAAATAAATCTATCTAGATGATCTCTTGTTGTCGATTTTAGGCCGCGACAACCGTCATCCCAAGCTTCACCCGATAAATACAATCGAGAAACGTTTCATAGAAAAGCTTTACGCGAATCAGTCCGGTTTCGCGGTCGAAATCCCTCGACTTTATTGAATTATAGTATGTACATAGTGAAAAATTGTTATTCGCAAATACAAATTTCGTATATGTATATATGTATACATATAAAGACCGTGAATACGCGTGAATGACATGTGTATGATCGTGAAAATAAATGTTCAAACCTTTTATAGAAATCTTGTTTAATCTTCTTCAGCAATTCTTCTCAATCCTCACCTCTCAGTACCCCTTACCATTCACTCTTCCGAAGCGCTAGTTTCCTGTAATTATTTCTACACATAGAAACGGAATAGCTTTATTTTATGCACGGTGATCAATCATCGTTAGGATAGAATTTTTCTTACCTAACATTTTTTATCTCGCGTAACGTGTTTCTTAGTATGAATCGATCGAAGAATCATTTCAATGAATATTTCACTCGTTTTGTATCGGTTAACATATATTTACCTACGCGTAAGTACCAACGGTGGATCGTCGGCAGCATAATAAATTTCACGAAACACGTTACCAAAATTCTTGTCTACGGCGATCGTAAAAGTAACAGGCAGAACCCGCCGGCTGTCAAAACACAGCCTCGAAAAATAAAAGTTTCTCTCGGCAAAGTCAACGGATAATGGTGGGCACGGCACGGACAGAGGTCGGGGACTTTGAAATAGGGAATTGCTTTACTGCTCCAATATAACCATAAACCATGTTTCGGCGGCCTTCGAGAGTATCTTCGCCTTTTGGTTTCACACAACCATTTTACCCCCGAGTCCCGTCCGTCGAATAAAATCGGTGACTTCTTCCTCGTTGTCAGACCTTTTCTCATCTCTGTTCGCATTTATAGAAGAAATAAACATTGTTTAGTTGCTACATCGATCTTTCATATTATTTCCGATATCATTTTGCCTTGTCATTTATGAAAATTCTCGAACGAATTTCATCAACGGGAAACGGAGCTTGTAATTGAGTCTAATGTTCAATTCAGAACACATTCACTATTACCGTTTCTCGAGGATTTCATCTATCATCTTCCTTATACATAGAATAGAAGCACATAGGTATTAGAAAATTGAAGGGAAAAACATATTTTTAGTAGTACTAGGCAAACCTGGGCATTTCTGAAATGATATTATTTGAAATGAAATACATATTATTTCAAATAACAAAACTAATATTTCAAATAACGTTATTTTATTTTCTAATCATTTCAAATCATTCTTAGAAATAACTGTGAAATCATTCTTCGAAATTCTATCAGGTGGCTAAGACTGAGTTTCGTTTATTGACATTTTTCTGATGAGTAACACCCCTCTTTCATCTTCCACACCAGTGGAACGTTTATTTTTTTTTTCGCGGCAATATTAGATGAACCCAAGCAAAAATCTCTTACGGATGGTCTTTTTTGGGGGGGAGGGGCGGGTTCTGCTTAAAGCAAATTGCTGTAAAGATTTTTTTAAATAAAATCTTTTTATTGCATGTTAGTTTCAGTATTATTTCTTTTCCGAAATTACAAATACAGAAATAACAAAACAATTCATTATTTGACATTGCTATTTACATATTTCAAATGATTCGATAATATTTTTATTTTCAAATAACAGTATTGAAAATAAAGTTCCGAAATAAATATTTTCAATAGGTATTTCTTATTTTCATTTCAAATTAAATTTGCCCAGGTCTGGTTCTAGGTGATGTATAAAGACTACATTTCTTTCCATGATTCTTAATTATTTTGTAGACATCATTACATTTTTACGTGTGCTTGAAATGTCACTAAAGCATTACATAAGAATTTTGAAATTTCTTTCTTGACTATTCGATTTACGATGTTTGAATGTTATTACATTAATATTGGCGATTATAATCTTACACAAGATAGCAACATGTTTGTTAAGAACTTTTCTGGCAATTTGTTTATATTTAAAAAAAGAAACGGCAGCTTCCTTCAACTAAATAGGAATTCGAGTTTACAGGTCATCGAGTACATGTACTTCTATAAAAATATGAAATACCTACTACTCGTACAGGCATGAAGTACTATTTCGTAGACACATCTTCCGATAAAAATTTTCCAACGACGCTATGTAGCGAACGATGAAATTATTATTAGAGCCACAGTACGAAAAATATGGTTTTTGTGAAATCGCAATATCGAGGCATCGTAGTCTGTTTGTCCAATTGTCTATGAAAAATATGCAAAAAAATTAAACTGAGCTTACGTAATTCCAAAAAATACAGTTAAAACCGTAAAATGGTGAATTTATACAGGTGGTTCCAATAACTCGATCGCCCATTGTAGTTTTCACGTGGACCTGGTCGGAAAAGTGTGTTGTTGCTCGGTACGAGCCAACCGCTCCAATATTGGTATGATGCATTGAGAGAATGAGGCGTAAATAAGATAATAGCGTACGCTCGCGTACGTTCAACGGGGGATTTAAGCGTTTGAAGGGCCGAGAAACACACGGGAGCGAGAAAGAGAGAGGGGGGAGAGAGGGAGGCTCGACCGATTAGGATCGGTAGATGAGATTGTGACCCGCGCAGCCTCTCCACTGACAGACGCGTTTTGCATTCTTATATCTTTAACCAACATCTTCGACGGTGCGCTTCAATCGCACGGAATTGCCCACTACACTTCTTCCACAGAATACGTGTTTGATTAATTATTATTTTCTACGGTTAACATTAGAGCAACCATACCCGTCGAAACGACGGATTTCAAATTTCTTATTCTATAATTACCTATAAATCGTAACGGTGCTTTTGTCGGAAACAATGTTGACTTTGTATTTGTTCTATATTTTGTTATATTTTATTTTATATTATATATATATGATCTGTATTAGAGAAACATTAGTGCATACGATTTACGACGTTCGTAATATTAACATTTTTCTTGTATTCAGATCCTATTTTTGATTATACTGCGGCTACAGTATTTTGTCGTATCGGAGGTGATTTTGACGTGGTTAGAAACGGTTACATTGAATTCCCAGAATTTTTAGATCATCCTTTCTATTAACTAAAACAAATTTATTTACGTTTAAATTTTACACGTCATATATTGAATATAAATTTACCCCGCATGGTGGACCGACACGACTAATAATTTCAAGAAATGTTGTAAACATATTTTGATATCATTAATTTTGTATACTCGTTGGTGCGAATCGGTAAATATTAAAAAGAATACCAACTTTAAATGACGCAATTATTGCCAAAAGATTGTAGCGAAAGTTGAATCACTTGAATTAGCCTACCAGAAGAAAAAATGTACAGTCTTATACAAGTATCTTCAATACAAAAAAGTTCGATGGACTTGGTAACAATGTTTAATAGATACCTGGGCATTTTTCGAGTTTATACACTACATTTGAAAACTATTCAACCGTCTGAAGCTTCTAGTTTCGCCTAGAATAGCTGTGAAACAATAACGAAACTTTGATGTGCACACATGTAGGCAACGTGTTACTTTTTATTAAGATTTCGTTGAACCTTAAGTGGAAAATATGTACAAGAATCGAAAATTTCAAAATGGTCTTATAGCACCAGGTACTAGGACATTTCGTAATTACAAGAATATACATATACATACAGGTATGTCACTATTGCGCATTATCATTGAACCGATAACAGTTGACAATGATACATAAAGCAAAACTAAACGAATATTGCATAGCATCACGTAGTCGAAGGGGACGGTAAACACTTGCGTGGTCAATTGCTCCAAGTGGCGAGTGGTACATACTATCTGCGTGTAACTTGTCCGCGCGTGATAGATATTCTTCTCTAGCTATGCCGTGAAAATTCAGATTCGTTAGTCACCGTTCCGATGAAATTATTCACCTAGACAAAACTTCAAAATAAATCGAATCTGGGTTATTTTATCAATCTTGTGCAAGCAATACAGATTGCTCTTGCGTCTAATAGTTGTACACTGGATTCTTGATTCTCAATCAATACTAAATTGTTGTTAAATTCTTTGTTTATTTAACAAAACAATATTATATATACGATGCTGACGGGGTAGATAAAACTCATTTAATTATAATTGAAAATATTTTCCTGTAGATTAGATCGAAGAGTTCAGATTTATAGAGACAGAAGCGACTTTTACTTTTAGTTTAAATATTTTTACTGAAAATCTATTATTTCATTACTTTCTATATTCCGGTGAAACTTGCAGGGTTTTTTCTATTCATTACGAAATTCCTCCGTTTATTGCAATTTCCATGATAGAATCAGTATTTTTAACACTGGAACTACCAAACTCGTCAAAATGACGGAGTCCAGATTTTTAATTTTGTAATTATTGAAATCCTAGAGATACTTTCATCGGAATTCGTCTTAACCACTAATTTCTTATACACATTATATTATAGTAGGTATACCAAGCTATATTGCATTATATGTATATTACACGTACAGGCTCCTCTCAATTATCGTCTGGCTTGTTTACACAATAATTGTCCAGGCGTTATAGGGGCGGGAGAGGGAGAGGGGAGGAGGCCGTGGAACCTGTGAAGCGCATACTTTTTCCGGGAAAGAAACAAATTTAAGAGAGTCTGAAGCATTTCTCCCTACAAGATTATTGTCCCAGCGCTTTGTATTAATATATTACCTACGCAATTTAACTCAGCATATGTACATCAAATGCTGGTAGTTCTGGTGTTAAATATGCCTTTAAATTCCGACATCTACAGAACTTAATGTCATCTTTCCTTTTTAATATCAGGGTCTGCGAGACGTGTAAAGACGTGTAAGTGTTCCTAGCGTTTTCGTAAGTAGTCGGTAACTCGCTGAATCACTTTGCGCTATTACATTATTGTCGATGTCGTCAGCGTTATTCGCAGAGTCGCTGACTAGGGTTGCCGTGATGTTTTTCAGAGCCCTTGTAATACTATTTCACTAAGCCACATGATTGCCGCGTTATCTACAACGGTCATGCTTTAAAATCGTGTCGTTTCTGTATCCTGTATACATACATATGTACATTCGGCTGGATAGGGTTGTCCTTGTCCCGGACACCATAGAAATCAACGTTGGAAAAGTGAGAAAACATCTTGGACTCGTTCGATCGGTTTCGTGTCTCTCCACGATTATATTTTGACATCGCCATTTTGTTCACAGGACGAAAGTCATCGAACACACGCGGCCTTCAGGCCCGAATCGAAAATTCGTAAACAGAATAGGCGCATCGCACATGTGCCACGCACTTAGGCGGTCGTCGTGTCAATAGATTTCAATGGCAGCGTGTTATAAGTATTTTCCACCATAGGTGAACACACACATGGGGGACACGCAGGGGATCGTTGCAGTTTCGTCTTCCCCCTCTCGGTTTTCCCCCTGCTTAGACATGGACGTTTATGGAGAGAAAGGAATACATAGACTGGTTTCGCTTCCGAGCAGAGGGTTTCCTCTTACCGCAGGGGTAGAGATAGAAAGCGAGGGAGATAGGAGGGTACCAGGGGCAGAGCTTCTAGCCTATAGGGATGCGTCGTAAGCATGATGGTGGTTGATTTGCGGTTTATTCCGTGTGCGATTCGACATCTCTGCCGAGCTGCTTGAACACCTTTTATTTGCTGTCCGTGCACGTTTCTGAAAACCGTTCTCGCGCGTTCTGCACCATTATCGTGCTCGTATGAAATTAGTGAAATTTGTGTCGACTGAAATAGTGCTATGTAGGTGATCAGTCGAAAAGTGCATAGTGTCATTTCGGAAATTTTATACAGGGGTGTTCTGCAAGTATACATATAAATAGGTATGTACTAAGGTGAATACTGAAATGTTAAAAATAGATAGCTGTTTATTTTTATTAGTGCTTGTTGATTTAAGGCTGGGATAAATATAGGCAGCAGTGAAAAATATATACATAAATATTAAAATTGGATGGTAGTTTATTTCCTATATCACAGGGGTTTTAGAATGTTAATAATAATACATAAATAGTGTGAAAGTTTATTAAAATCTTCATTTAATCACAGAAAGTTTATTAAACGCTCATTTTACAAGTGCGTGAAATTCTGTCGCCATTTAATCTAATTTTTGTCAGCAAGGATCCATAATTTCACTGATAGTAAAGTAGACCTCACTATTTTCGGTTGAAAACTTCAAGTATTCCCTCGAAAAATAAATAGAAAGATAAGAAAGAAGAAACTATGTAGGTCAGTTTAATATCAAGATTTTCGGCTTCGAATTAACAAGATACAACACAAACTAAATTTTACGAAAATAAATATAAAAACTAAATTTTCTTAATTAATTTATCTTGACGAATAAGTTTTTAGAAAATGTTATTTCGAATTGTCACTTAAATAAGACTTTATGTATTTCGATGACGCCCAGTCCTGCTACGGAATTGCAAAGCGCGATCGTGAAGGAATCCTAAAAGTGAGAGCAGGCAATAAGTTGGACACATCGAACATGTATTAGGTTGGTGCAAAAATAATTGTGGTTTTGAAGCATGAACTTTAAAATAATATATCTCGGGTTAAAATGAAGTTATTTAATCAAAATAGGAACCATTCGATTCTATACATTTCTGCCGACGTAGTACAAGTTTGTTTATTCCAGTATTATAGAATTCTGGTGTTTTAGAGGCGATGAACTCTTCAACTGCGTTTTTGGCTGCTGCTGGAGTTTTGAAGTTCTTCTCACGCAGAAACATTTCCAGATGTTTGAATAAATGATAATCCGTCGGAGAAAGGTCCGGCGAATACGATGGATGAGGCAAGGTTTCGTATCCTAGTTCATTGAGTTTCTGTACGGTGATTCGTGAAACATGTGGTCGGGCGTTGTCATGCAATAGGATAGGTCCCTTTCGATTGACGAGTATTGGACATAAATCTTTCAACTTTTTATGCACTTTGTCGATTTCGTGGCAGTGTTTCACTGATGTAACAGTTTCACCAGGTTTGAGAAAATTATAGTGGATAATCCCTCTTCTGGACCACCAAACAGTGACCATAACCTTTTTTTGATGAAGTTTTGGCTTCGGAAAATGTTTTGATCTTTCATCTTGATCTAGCCACTGAGCAGAACGCCGTCGATTATCATATAAAATCCATTTTTCATCGCATGGTATGATCCGATCAAGAAACGGATCGTTTGTGTTCCGTAACAGCAGAGCAGAGCAAATCTCAAACCGACGAAACCTCTGGCTTTCGTTCAGCTCATGCGGTACCCACTTATCAAGCTTTTTGCATTTACCGATTCCTGATAAATGGCGAATAACTGTTGAATGGTCAACATTTAGTACCTCTGCAACCTCACGAGACGTTTTACGTGGATCTGATTCGATAATGGCCTTTAATTCGTCATTGTCGATCAGAGAAGGACGTCCGCGACCCTCTGCGTCTTCAAGACTTTCGTCACCATTACGAAACTTCTGAAACCAATGTTGAGCCGTACGCTCAGTCACAGTTCCTTGGCCAAATGCCTGATTAATATTGCGAGCAGTTTCTGCAGCTTTTCGTCCCAGTTTATACTCATACAATAATATCGTTCGAATTTGTTTGTTTTCCATCTTCACTTTCCTGGCCAAATACAGCTACAAATAAACAGGCAGAAACAAGTCACAGACATACATCGATAAAGCCAACTTCACGCTTTGGCATGGTATACTACATGAACATAGTTACAAAACATCTCACTTCAGAGAGGTAACTCAAGTTTTTAATCGCGAAAACCGCAATTATTTTTGCACCAACCTTATACATAAGTGAATGTATTACGTGATATAGATGTCCGCTCGATTTTTGTAACGTAGACCCACTCGAGATGCGAAAAGACGCGTAGGGTATGTTGACGTGGCACTTTGATTGCGGGTAATTTCGAGCAAGATTCAAGGATAGTATCAAGTACATACGCTGTTGCTCGGCCACGCACACATGACGTAAGGCCGCGTATCTATGTAAGTAGCCGCGTATACGTACGACGTACGGCCGCTGGATGACTCGGTTAATTTATTTAAGCGAGGAAGAAGGGTTAGGCGAAGACGCCTGGCCGCCAACAGTGCCATATTTCGCGCCACCTCCGCATAGTTGGTAGCAATTACGAGCTCGCGATTATTCGTCTGGAGTGAACCAGTTTGCGGGCTTTCAGTCGCGTCGTCTTTACTCACGAAGACGCCCACTTTTCATGCAGCCACGTCTCGACGTTCCTTTGTTTGTTTCGATTCTGTAAAATTACCTTCCTTCGATTTTAAATGTTCGGATTTCCTTCGTCGCGAGAACGAAATGTTGTCCGCCGTCCTGAAACCTATCTTTCTATCGTCTATGTAGGTACGCGTAAAAGTAAGTCGGGTGATACCATTCTTAATTTTTTAACAGTTACCGACGAATATTTCTTATTGTTGTAAACTGTAAACGAAAAGAATATAGGTTATCTTTAACACTAGAATTACCGATGATCAACATATATCTGGACTCCAGAGCCAAAGTGCATAAAGTCACAGTTTTCAAACTTTAAAGGAGGGTAAATCAAAGATGCAAAAACCTTGTAACTTTGGAACCGTTTGGTAGGAACTGAACTTAAAACAAGTCTGGTATGTACATATTTACCTACGCTGTTTGGTTTGAAATAAGAGATGAATGGATTTGATATCATGTTTACATTATTATATTAAAAACTAACCAACTTGGAGATAAATAATTTTTACTATCGGAAAGAATGACAAATTTTTTTTTAAAAAAGTCGACTCAATACACTCTGGTCCAGATGTTGATACATATGTACATATGTACCTATATCGATTTCTATCGGTACGATTAACATGACAAATTTTGGAAAATATACAAATTTGTAAATTAAATAATATCTTCACTTTCATGTACTGCAACGACAGTTGTGAAAGGTCTGAGAGAATACATTGTTATAACTAGACTGTGGATTTTATGCATTTATATCCAATAGGGCTTTGTCTAATACAAAAACTTTCGTCACATATGTATATGTAATGTGTCTTCTGCTTTATTCTGAACCTAATAAGATATTCAAGAGAAGAAATAAATTCCTGTCTGTGCTGTTGTCGGGAAAAATTACTTTAGAAAATCTCATTTTGCATAAAAATCCGCAGTCTATGTACTTATAACATTTTAATCGTTGTTATAAGAGTGTAGGTACCAAACCAGTCATTTTTAATACTTTGATAGTTCTATGTAGTGTTAAATATCAACGATATACAAAAACGGGTTGAATCATTGAGCTGCTTTAGTTAAAAATTAATTCTGGATAAGTTCTGTCAGAATGTAAGGCATTGTCTTTATGGTAAACGTACAATATCAACAAATATTTGGGGGTAGATGAAATGTTGTACATGCAGAAAGTCGCTCTAAATTCTCATGTCAAGAACAACTTTTCAACATTTCTTTAACAGTAGGTGCATTATGCATTATTGAAAATATAATTCCTTTGCAAACATTTGGAAATATAAAGATATGTTAAGTAAAAATAATATTATTAATAATGAGGTAATGTGTTATGGAGGTGGTAACTCACAAATAACTTGCATATATTACTGAACATTAATATTCACTGGCTATGTATTAAAAGTCAATTAAATCAAAATTACATATTATGTGTACACGCGTTGTACTTTTATAATATTTATGACAATTCTATGGAAATATTTATACTTAACTTATATTTTACAGATATTTATTTCTTCCTATTGTGTATTGAAAGTGTAAAAACGACCTGATTTTGTAATCGTAAATGTACTTTATGAAGCGAATATTTTGTAATGAACGTTTATGCTCACGTTTTGTAAATAATATTATAAACTCGTGTATTATGCTGTACAAATTTCCATCGTTTTATGCTGTTTTAATTACATACAGCTGCAGACAAAAAAGTTACCACTTTTTCGATTTGCTTTATTTTTATTTTTTATCATGAACATAAAACTTTACCGTGTGTTTAATACATTGTATTCCGTTCGAGAATTAAAAGCCGTATAAAACCTAGTACATTAAGGTTTTAAGTTGATGTTAAGAAATAATAGAAATACATATGAAGAATCCGAAAATTGGTAACTTTGTTCTCCGTTTCTGTATAGTAAACATCCAAATAATAAATTTATTACAACTGTGTACTGTCGATTCTGCCTAATATATTTATTACAAGACTTAAGCATGCGAATACTTTCTTTAACCACTGTATACATACGTATACTTTTTAAAGTATATATGTACAAAATTGCTTCACCAAAGTCAGATCGTACATTTTGATTATTGCATCGTGAGGATGCAACAAAAATGAATAAAATGTGAATCGTATTCGAATGGTAGGGAAAATGGGGACGAGATTGAATTAACCATGTTGTGCAAAACAGTTAAATGGTTCCCATGAGCGGCCCCGTCACGATAGAAGACCCGTATCTTCGTGTAGCACAAAAGTATTAAACGAATGAATGAATGAATGAATGAACGAATGAATGTACAACCGCCGAAGGCTAGAATGAATGAGCGGCTACTCGTGTGTCGTATGAAGGAAACAGTCTGGAAAGAATGGAAGAAGAGAATGAGGAAGGATGAACCGAATTGGAAGAACGATGGTGTAAATGCTGGCGGCACTATTTAGGTACCCACGTGCAAAGATTTTAATCGATGCGTCTTGAAGGTCACCTTGAAACTTGTAAAAATTTCTAGATATTCACAATTTTTAATGGGAACACCTTTTTTAATAATACTAACAAATTTTTTTACTTATGAAAATAACCTTAATTTTGGCGGAATCATTAAAAATTTGTATAAAAAATACATGTACAGATTATAACACATAACTTTCAATTTTAAGTGTAATTTTGTTTAGGTCTTACGCGATTGTGATGTTGGCAAACAAATTTGTACATTGACTTCGAAATTTTAGCCCTTCTGAAATACAATCTATTACAAGAAGAATTACAAATAAGTCGTTACACTCACGTTAGAAACAATACCTAGGACAGCTACCTATGTATATTTAAAAGGGAATCGTGAAAAGTATTTGGAATTTCAGATCTGGTGAAATACTTTGTACACGATTCTAATATTTATAGAACAGAGGTTCGCGTATACGTAATTGGATCGTGTCCATTAAAACGCAAAAAAGAACAAACGATGCGCGTAATGAATATCAGACGGAAAAACGGGGTTCGAAGCGGGGGAGAGACGGCTTTTAAAGGGGTCGTCGAGGAAGGGATAAGCGGAGCGATACGGCCGGAAATGTGTCGTGTCGCAAAGACCTAACGACAAAGAGAGAACGCGTGGTCAAGACACACGAGAAAGATGTTCGTAGGCGCTTTATTCGACTTTATTAGACGCGGTAGAAACGAGCAGTCGCTCGTTTATACCACCAACTAAACTCAGCAAAACGGAGTTTACAGGGATGCTTCTTCTCTTCGTCCGCATAGCACCAGCTGACACTAACACGCTCACCATGATCTTGAATGGCTTCAATTAGCTTCGTTTAGGTCTGTAATTGTTTCTTGTGAATTCCCGTAGAAAGCATCTTCTAGCGGCGTCCTGCGAAATTGCGATCCTCATTGAGAGACAGAAAGGTAAACGAATAGAGTAGATACGAGGAAAGACGTGACGACTGTGTTCGGGGCAAGTACATATCTGGACCCCAGAACCAGAGTGTATCGAGTCCACTTTTTAAAAACAAAACAACATTTTACATGTTTCCCGTACCAAATGATAAAAATTAAGTACTTTCTTCTACGTCATTTAGTTTTAGTGGAAAAACAATATTATGTCCAGTGAGAGTCACAAGTGAGTATACACCTCGAGAACACGGCGTTTATTTAACAATTATTAGATATATGTTACATTTATGGAAAAGTTATTTGAAAAACATAAAGTGTAGATTAATGGTAATTAAATGTAGAAAACGTAATTCAATCTAATAAATAATACAACATAAAATAGTTGAGCATCTGTAAAAATATGAATCAAAAGTGAGTATACACAACTAATTACGAATGATTTGTCTTCATTTATTAATAAAATTACGTACATTTAATACTTTGTTGGTCCACCTTTAGCTTTAATTACGGTAGCTAATCGTCTTGGCATGGATTCAACCAACTTACATGTTGTTGAAACAGAAATATCATTCCATACTTTTACTAGTTCGATTTTAAGGTTTTCCTTGTTCGTAATTTTTATTTTGCGTAAGTTCAAATCTAATATTTCCCACAAATTCTCTATTACATTAAGATCTGGGGATTGTGGTGGAGAATTCAGTTGATTTTGAGCATTTTGTTGCAACCATTCCTTAACAATCTTTGCTGTATGTTTAGGATCTCGATCTTGCTGAAAGATCCACGAATCTGGCAACTGAACTCTTCTAACACTTGCAGCTAAATTTGTTCTTAAAATATTTAGGTATTGAAATCTATCCATCGTATTGTTAATAAAAGCTAATTCCCCGACTCCAGAGGCTGCCATGCTACCCCAAACCATAATATTACCACCGCCGTGCTTGACGGTACTAACAAGATTTTTCGGTTCTAATTCCGTATTTTTTTTTCTCCAAATTTTTGGTTGCCTTTTTCTTCCAAAAATTTCAAATTTACTTTCATCAGTGAATAATACGGTGTTCCAAAATTCGAGTGGTTTGTTTATGAATTGTTTTGCGAATTGCAATCGCAAAACGCGATTCTTTGCACTTATCGCTGGTTTCTTGCGTGGCACACGGCCATGCATACCTTGAGAATTTAATGATCTACGAATTGTACTCGCACTTATAGATTTTTGTTTTCGCACTTATAGCTTTTATTAACAATACGATGGATAGATTTCAATACCTAAATATTTTAAGAACAAATTTAGCTGCAAGTGTTAGAAGAGTTCAGTTGCCAGATTCGTGGATCTTTCAGCAAGATCGAGATCCTAAACATACAGCAAAGATTGTTAAGGAATGGTTGCAACAAAATGCTCAAAATCAACTGAATTCTCCACCACAATCCCCAGATCTTAATGTAATAGAGAATTTGTGGGAAATATTAGATTTGAACTTACGCAAAATAAAAATTACGAACAAGGAAAACCTTAAAATCGAACTAGTAAAAGTATGGAATGATATTTCTGTTTCAACAACATGTAAGTTGGTTGAATCCATGCCAAAACGATTAGCTACCGTAATTAAAGCTAAAGGTGGACCAACAAAGTATTAAATGTACGTAATTTTATTAATAAGTGAAGACAAATCATTCGTAATTAGTTGTGTATACTCACTTTTGATTCATATTTTTACAGATGCTCAACTATTTTATGTTGTATCTCAAATATTATTTATTAGATTGAATTACGTTTTCTACATTTAATTACCATCAATCTACACTTTATGTTTTTCAAATAACTTTTCCATAAATGTAACATATATCTAATAATTGTTAAATAAACGCCGTGTTCTCGAGGTGTATACTCACTTTTGACTCTCACTGTAGGTCCATATCGTGTTATCAGCCAAACAGTGTAAAGTCCATCACATAGGAGACTTGATACAATATTCACCATTTGTACATATCGAGACTTGCCTTCTGTGTCCATTAAATAGTTCGAAGGTAGCGGTTGTTTCTCGTCAAATTCTAACCAAACGGTTCCAGAGTTACAGCGCTGTTGCACCTTTGATTTGCTCTCTTCTAAAGTTTGAAAAATGCGACTAGAGACGGCTCTCGATTATTGTCCTGAACTCGGGTCTACGCTGGGACAATAATCGTATAGGGGAAATGCTTCAGATCTTCGTAAGTTCGTCTTGTCAGACTTTTTCGCTTTCTTTAAACATTAGGAATAATAAATGTACCTACTTATAAAATAATTGTAAATTATTAATAATTATTAGTTGATAATTATAATAGAATGGGAATTGTCGTTCACCTTTATTGCCGGAACTGTGAATGCTCAAAAGTGTTTTTTATTTTTTATAAAATCTTATTTTATACTGGAAAGAAGGAAGATACTCACCAAACGTAGCCATATAAATATCTATATGTTAGCTATGTATCGTAGATTAAGTTGGTAAAATAAACAATTCTTTACAACATATTGAGTTTGTTTAAAAGTTTGTTTAAATATTAAATTCTGTTAACTCGACGTCTGAAAATAAGACAAAATTAAGATCAGATTGCATCATACGAAGTGACTGTTTCTATAAGTTGAAACACAAACACTGTATTTCCCCAAAAAAAATAATTTTCACTCAATCGAAATATTTCCCACCATCACTCGTATAAACATGACTGGTATTAAACTGAACCCTAGAATCTTATCCAGAACTGTCATGTGTCGCAGTGAAATTGCATGTTTAATTTGAATAAGCATTTGAAATTATTTACAAATATATTATATATAGTATAACCAAACGGCAGACTTTTAGAAACATATTAGTCAAAATTAAAATTTCATATTGTTTCTATAACCATGTTCTGTTTCATCTTGAATTCGATGTTGGAAGTGTTCCAAATCAAGCATTCAGTGGTTAGGGAAAGATAGGTCAGCACAGAGCTGTTTGCGCAGTGGTAGGCTTCCGTTCTGTCTCGTTTCATTGTATTTTTCAACGTACAATCGTCAATGTTTTCTATTCCGTTGACTCAACGACGAACTGCCGGTTGTATTAAAAGCATAAATATTTGGAATATTCAATACCATTTATAGTTAAATAATGTTTATACGGTTATAATGAAAACTGAAAACTTAACACTTTATTTGATAATTTGCGGATCTTTTTTTAAGAAAATTGATTTTTTTTATTTAATAAATATAACAACGCAGGCTAGGTTAGGCTATATTTTTATGAAGAAATGCTTGCAAAAGCGTTTATTGAAATTAATGCATTTTTGTTTATGCGTGATTTTACTAAATCAGAAATGTAAGTATGCATTTAACCAAATTAGTAAGTGCGTACACTGATTAGGAAATGTACACCTTTATTGAATGAACGCTTTTACTGTGACATACATATGCATACATACATACATGAAGCAAATAAAATGAATAACAAACGTAAAGCGATCTATGATTGTAGGCTCTTGCTTTCGCTTCTGTCTTTTCTTGTCCAACATATTAAAATGTACTGCATGTGTATGTAATCGTTACAGGGAATAAACGTAAAAGCATATACGATTACATACAATTCTTCCCTACCGGTTCTACGCATGCGTCCGCGTTTCTCTTAACGAGAACGTTGAATCTGTAGTAGAAGATTTAAGTGCACCAAACGAGACAATAAAAAATTTTCTCGCCAATGAAAGCTGAGACTCGTTCCCTCAGGGTATACTTCCTGCTTAAACGTCTGACTCGTTCGTGTTCGAGCATGGAATAGACCACAGGGAACGAAGAAAGAAGGTGAATTAAAGTGCAATCAGGGCTTGGTGTCTTTGTATCCACACTTTCTCCCCTTTTCTCTCTCGCGCTTCTAACGACCGACCATTTAAACCAGCCGTTCAGCAGTACTTAAATCTCATAACATTTAACTGCGTGGCCACCATCTTGATCAGGATTTCCTTCTTTCGATGGCTCGACTCGATCGGATTATTCTATCCTTATTCAGTTGGTGTAAGCGCGTAAAGTTTACGCTTGCATTCGGAAAATTTTCTGCAATGAATAGAAGTTGATGAAAAACTTTTTATCACAATTATAAAGATATGTTAGTTTATTGGTTACAATAGCAACTTTGTAACAAAATCATGTTTCAACCCTCGTGTACGAATTTCATCTGAACTCGGACGTTAATTTTTAATTATATTCTTTATCCTACATAGAAATGTTTAAATTCACTTAACACCAATTGTTTACACATGTATAACAATCAAGCGATCTATAAATATATTTTCGTATACTCCTTTTTCCTCAAGGAAGAGAAATGCAACAATTTATTGAACAATGCACAATGATTAATTAACACCGTTGTCACTATAGATACATCGATTCTCAGCACCAACAATCTCTTTTTAACTGTGATTGTCTTTGTTCTTAATACGTATTTCACAAAGTAACCGCATAGTTTTGGTTAATATTATAACGAAAGAACGTTTCTTTCCTTTAAGTTATAACTCTGATCGGATACTGTTGATCTTAACTAAGTTAAAAGTTTTAGTGTTAAATTCACTATACAAATAGCTTTTGAAAATTAGCTGGACCAATATCTCTTTTCAGGATCATGAATGGACTTACACCATTTTCAAAATCAGTGGTTTGTGCTGGATTTATGAAATTTTAATTACGTAAAATTGATGTTTTATGCCTCAATTCATTTCTTTTTATAAACAAGAGCAGGAAAGACGCTGGATGCTTGGAAAAATTAATATTAGGTACATTCTATTTTTTATTCTCGATCGTTATGTGTAAATATTTTGAAATATTCATGACGCACGGGCGGTACGTAAAGCAACAACTGTATCATATCCTTATACATACCTATATATGTACAAACTAAATAGCAGGGATAATTTATTTAAATCTCTATTTCTATTTAAACTTGCAAATTTTAAACTAAATGGCAGTAATACAATATTTCGCATATAATTAATCAAATATTTTTATATGACGGTGTCAATGCGATATTTTCTTCTCGATTGATCGAAGCAAACGAATATTTTGAAATTTAAATTACAAATTGTTGATAAATAAAAGCTTCGCATTAAACAACATAGTTTTTCTAATTTTTTCCAAAAATGGACCTACCCCACTTTCAAAATAAACGGTCCATGTATCGAGTAGTGTTCAAGAGATGTTGATGCGTCGAGGGGGTGGCTTTGGCTCGTCTGTGGAAAGAAAGCGCGGACGTGGGAGGGAACCGAGTGAATAGATAAGGCTCGTGTTCTTCTTCCCCTCGTCCTCTTATCACGGTTTTGCGCGCGGAACTTGATCTCATCCTTCGGGATAGGAGACGAGAGCAAGCGCGTGCGCTTGCGTGTCGCGTACTCTGCGCGAATACTTGCCGCTTGCCGCCAACCGAAAGGAGAGGGACAGAAAGAGAGAAAGACCGCGCGAACCAAGCGCGAAACGAGTGGAGCTGACAGAATGACTGAGTGACACTCGGCTGACGTCCCTTCCGGTGTGTCTCGTGTTACACCAAGCCTGTTAAGCGTTTATATATTGAAGTTACGGCATTGGGCGCGTGCCACCCACTTGCATTCTCTGTACCGACCATTTTTTTTTTCCGACTCCCCCTCTTTACCTTGACCCATCCCCAAACGAGACGCGACGCGCAGTGCTTTAAAACAAGCCCTGTGTTTAAGGTGATTTTCGCAAATTTTTTTTAATAATTATTATAATAATTTACTTGAAAATTAAAACAGAATATTCCGAAAAGTTTCAACTTTCGATTGCTATCAAAAAATTGCAAGGTTTTACTACGATCAAATTATTTATTGAACAAGAAACTTTTAATGACTTAGCCGATATATCGGCTTTTTGGGCATTCCGAAAAATACATTCAATTTTCAATACACGTTTTTATAAAATGACACTTTATTTTTATAAAATAAGTTCATATAGTGAAACATATATGTATAGTAAATTTACTGTATAGGAATAATAAAATTAAAAAAAAAAGAACATGAAAACATCTTTATTTTTAAGAGAAATATTTTTATTTTAATAGGTACCTTAAAAAACACATATGTTTCAAGGTATTTTGTTTGTTGACGAAACCCAGAAAACTTATAAGGTACTACATATAAGGGTTAAAAGTGCGTCACGCT